GGGCTCCTCCCCCACCCCTTAAACTTGGTATTCCATTTTTAAATTTCTTTTAATTAATATTTTTAAAAACTTCATTTACCTACTGGGGGCAGTGGCAAAACCTGTAATCCTAGCACTTGGGGAAGCAGAAGGAGCTGGATCTCTGTAAGTTCAAGGCCAGCCTGCTCTACAAAGTGAATCCAGGACAGCCAATGCTACACAGAGAAACTGTCTCGAAAACAAAACAAACAAAAAACACCTTTCCCAAAACACGAAAATCTTTTTTTGATGCTACCTACTTACATATAACATTCACCTGAAACTTAAGCTATTTTAAGGGAAGAGAATCACAATTACTTCTAAATAAATCTATTAGCCAGAGGGCTAAGTTCATATTCACAGACGTTAAATAGTATCTGCACATTTTTCTTTTCTTAGCCTTGCCTGTCCTGGACTCACTTTGCTGACCAGGCTGCCCTTGAACTCACAGAGATTCACCTGCCTCTGCCTCCCCAAGTGCTAGGATTACAGGCATGTGCCACCACAACCAGCATCTGCGCATTATCGAAAAAAAATTACTCAAACATTGTAACTGGACATTTCATCAGCAGAGCAACAAACACTGTCACTGTGTGCATGTGAAATGTCCCACGGGCTCATGTCTCAACACCTGGTTTCCAGCTACTGACAGTTTTCTAAGTCTGTAGAACCTTTAGCAATTGGAGTTCACTGAATTGGTCAATGGGATTGGTCTTCAGGTTTTAGGTCCTGGCCCTACTTCCTGTTGGCTGCTTCTTACTATGGACAAAATACAACCATCTGCCTCAAGCTCCTACCCTCAGACCTTGCCTGCCTAGATGGACCACACCTTCTTATGCCCTGAGCCAAAGTAAACCCTCCCTTCTTTGAGTTGCTGTTGTCAGGTGTTCAGTTACAGCAATGAGAAAAGTAACTAAGACAAATGTTTGGAGCAGGGCAGGCATGGCAGTTTATACCTTTAATCCTACAACTCAGGAAGCAGAGAAGGAGACTCTCTGTGAATGAAGCCTGTCTGGTCTACACAGCAAGTTCCAAACCAGTCAAGTCTACACAGTGAGACCTTGTTCAGAAGGAAAAAAAGAGAAGGGAGGAGGATAGGAGGGAAGGAGAAGGAAGAAAGAAAAGACAAGACAAAAAACAAACACACTGAACAGGCTTTCTTAAATGTCCACTGTAGTTAAGACATTGGAGGCGTAGCTCACCTAAGTCCAACCCCAGCAACAACAAAAGACATTCTTCCAAGTGTTCCCAATCAAAGGAACTTTCTCCTATAACACAAATGTGGTCAATTCACTTTGCCCTCAGAAAAAAATCAATCTTATTTGTTATCTTGCAGCAAAATCAAAACTTTATTAAAACACAAAATGTTCTGCTTGTAAGTACCATCACTCAGTACCATGTGCTCAAACCCATGAGGCCCTGTATTTAATACCCAGCACCACCAAATGTTTCTGGGTCCCAGGGAATAATTTAATATAGGTTTCCCTGTATCAGTTAGCAGAATCAAGACAATTCCTCACAGACAGGCTTAGAGGGTTGCCTCTAAAGTGTCAAGTAGGCAATACTAACCAGAGACCAAAGCTACATTACTCACCGTGTATCCCAGCATACATCCTGTACATACGACCTTCTTGCTTTGCTTTTGGTGGTGCTGGGTATTGAACACAGGATTTGATCATATAACTTTGCTCCCAGGTCCTTCACTCTGTATTTCAGTGATTCCCACCTATCCTGGAGAGCAGTGGTTCTGAACCTTCCTAATGCTGCAACCCTTTAATATAGTTCCTCATGTTGGAGTGACCCTCAACCATAAGATTATTTCATTGCTACTTTATAATTCTGCTACTATTATGAATCTTAATGTACATATCTGATTGCAGAAAATCTGGTATGTGACCCATCTGGGGGTCAAAATGCACAGGCTGAGAACCACTGCTCTAGAAAGAGCTGCCTGCAGAAGAAAGAGCATCTTATTTACCTCACTATTGCAATAGCACCTACACACAGAAGAAAGTTGGGAAATACTTGCTATACAAAGACCTGAGACAGAGGGAGATCCTGTCTTAATAACAACAAAACAAAACAGAACAAATGACCAGAGTAATTATTAGGTTAAGACATGAAAAAAATACTTGTACTTGGGGGCATCTTGCACTAGGAGACGAAAGCATAAACTCTGGAGTTTTGGGCTCAAGCTCACATCTGTAACCTCACTGGAACAAACTACACAGCCTCATCTAATGTCACAGTTCTAAGGTGCGATGATGAAAGGAAAGCTATATGTTAATACTGAACAACATTATTTAAATATAAATTATATTAAATACATAATTAAGTTGACATCTATTACACAAAAATCACATGTAAACGCTGGGCATGGTGATTCATGCCTTTAATCCCAAGTTTTGGGAAGCAGAGGCAGGTAGATTTGTGAGTTTGAATCCAGCATGGTCTACATAGTTTGTTCCAGGCTAGCCAGAGCTAAATAGGAAGACCCTGTGTATAATAATAATAATAATAATAATAATAATAATGGTGCATGTACTTGCTGAGCCATCTCACCAGCCCAACGTGACAATTCTGTACACTATATACAATATATACAGTAAAAAGGTCTATAGAACTAAACTTCAAACTACCAATATCTATGAAATTCAAATAGAACTTATTTAACATGATAAATGTTATTCTGCTAAAACTGTACACTCACAATAAAAACATGATACACAGAGGCTACTTCAGACCAGACTGCTTGGTATTTTAATACCTCGGAGTCCAGTCTCCCATTATTTCCTCCACTCAGAAGGCTGCAGAGCCTTTGCCACATGGCTCAGCATTGCATCACTACACAGGAACAGGCCATTTACTACTAACCTCATCTCTGTTCTTTCATCAAACCCATGAGAGGTGAGTACTGCCAACTCTGACTGTAAAACATAAAAATACAACTGCAGAAACCTAAAAAAATACTGTTATCTAGACACAGAGATAAGAAAATATTTACTTTAAATCTTTTTAGCTCTGTCAAGTGAATGGCAGGAACTCAAAATAAAACAGCTAAGAAAATGTATACTCCTTCTGGTTTTTTTGGGGGGTGGGGGGAGCAGAGACTCATGTACTTCAAGCTTGCTTCAAACCTTCAATGTAGGCAATCACAGACATGCACCACTACACCCAACTTAAGTGTTTATCTTCTGTGTCTTTGAATACAATGTTATTTACATGGTTTACACAATAAAGTAATTTTCAGAGAATTTGCGGGCTAAACTGAAGAGCTATCTGAGAAGTCTAGTTTGCTATAGCTGTACAGAGGTAACAGGATGTAGAAGCATGTGGCTATAGCTCTGAAATGCCCCTGCTTACATATGACACAGCTTATTACTGACACCCTGATTCTCAATGTCTTCATCTTTACAGACAGGGTAACGATGCATGTGTGAGAGAACCACTGGCTAACTCTTCTGTAAAGTCACAGGCAAGGATAATGCAAGAACAGTGAGTGCCACCCTGACACCAACTAAGTTCATGAGCAAATAAACCCATTAGCCAAATTAGGACTACAATGTTCCTGGATAAGTGCAAAGAAAAAAAATGCACTTTTAAATTTCTATTTGATGATTTAAATGGGGTAGGTAGGTAAGTAAGATTTCTAAAGGGGTTGTCAAAACCTCCAGAGGGAAGAAGGGATCTCAAGTTTAAAATCTCAAAATTGTTGACCTTTTAAAGGATTATACTGACAATGTCATCCAAGAAATTAAATAAGCTCCTTGTCTATTAAACCAACAACCACTCTGTTTTCCAATGAATTAAATACTAAATAACTTAACTAAACACTGGAAACCACAGTGTGAGTCTGACTATAAAACCAAGGTAGACACTTGGAAAAAGAGCAATTGTGAAGAATGAAAAATACATGGTCTTTGCTGTCTGTGCGGGCTCAACCAGTTTCACACTCTATGACTGGGCAGAACTTCGTAACAACCATCTCAGTTTCATGTCCTGTAATGGGTTACAGGTCTGCGGCACACAGTGGTCAGTGATGTCAAAAACACAGAACCAGAGCTGCACTGCTTGATGTTTGTCCCCATTCTCTGTGTTTTAGGTTTGCTGTGGTTGTCTTCTCACTGGCTTTTGAATTTCTCACTCCACTCAAGTATTCCTACTTTCTTAGCACTAGATCACACCAATGATGAGTCACTAGACGTCACTGTCATGTCCAAACCAATGTCAAATTGTGGCAACTGAGTACTCATTCCCCCTGCACACTCTATAAACAAACACCAAGGCATCATCAGCAATGGCAAACGCTGAGGGCCACGCTACATGCCCAAGTTTACAACAGACATTTTAGCACACTTGATCTTGCCTATTTCCACTGCTCTGAAAAATAAACACTCATCTTCAGGTATTGTAGTAGGACAGTGATTCTTACATTCTTATACTGTTCATCATTAGACCTGCAATTAAAAAAAAAAAAAAATAGGAGCTGGAGTGAGGCTGCTTTACTGACAATCATGAGCAGGGCCCAGGGGGTTCCATCCCCAGAATCAAAGAAAAAGCTTTGCATTAATAAGATGAATTACCAGGTGGCTTATCTGATCACATGTAGGTAAGACTATTTTCAGGATTTCATTAGCAAACCTGCCCCCTAATGGTCTGGCCACCAGTTAAGCTCTGCCTCCCTAGGACTTCATCCCTCTGAGGAATGAAAACATTCCTGGGGCATCATTTCCATGCGCACCCCCGGCTAGAGAGAAAGCGAAGGAAGCCTTGCATATTCTGAGATGTGCCTGGACAACCTATTTTCTCAAAAAATAATATAAAATAAAATAAAACCTCTGGACTACAATGACAAGTTCCAGTTCCAGATGATCTGAGCACACACACACAGAATTCACCAAGCACACACACACAGAATAAAAACAAAACCCATAACTTTTAAAAAACAGATTCAAAAATAAACTTTACTTATAATACTCCTTTCCCAGTAAAGAATCATTCACATGTTTTGCTTTCTTTTCAAGCCCTCGTGGTACACTTGCTGGTGCTGACTGAGGCAAAAGATGAAAATCCTGTTCCAGGAGGAAATGCCTTAGTGACCATCACAGTTTCTAAACACAAGAAGGGAAAAATCGTCACTAAAAAGCACAGGTGGCTGAGGTCCAGAGAAAAAACAGGATGCATGTAAATGGAGGCCAAGAGCTAGCGTATACCACACAGGAATTCATATGCTTTCTTCTCCAACCTAGTTGCTAAGTCTGCTTTATAGTCACTTTCATTTTTCCAATAAAGCTGTTTTTAGCCTTTAAAATGTGAATTAATTAATTTCTTAGTATTTCTTGGGCTGGTAATAAGCATCTTGTAATCGCATCCACCTTGAATAAAAAATATTACACACACTACACAAAACACAGGATGATGGTTTAACTGCTTATTCACTTTCAAAAGATTGAATTAGATATTCCCGTGTTCTGAGATTTCGCAGGATGTGTAACTCTTACTGATGTGAGTCTGTGATTACAGACCACAAAGTGGTACCCAGAGAAGGCTATCTAGAACAACAGTATCATCATTACCTAGAAATTTATTCAAAGTACAAATTCTCTGCTCTATTCCATGCCTTGATTTAAAAATTGAAGAAAAGAACTAACCATTATTGCTTTAACAAGCCCTCTAGAGAATTCCAATGCATGTCACACATAAAGAACACCAGATCCAAAGGTTATCTCACGGTCTTAAATTGGTTCTCAGCAACAGAATTCCCATTTGGTTTCTTGAGCTATGTACTATATGGCAGCACAAAATGAATGGAATAGATTAATGCAAGTGGTCTGGTAAATCACAGAAACTGCAAACGCTCAAAAGATGCCAGCATGGCAATAGTAACAAGTGTAACAACTAGGGCTGGAGAGATGGCTCCGTAGTTAAAAAGCACTTTGTTCTTTTACAGAACCCACATGGCAGCTCACAACCATCTATAACTCCATCTATAACTCCACTTCCAGAAAGCTCAAAACGCTCTTCTGACATCCAATGGAACCTAGCACCCACTTATGCACACAGGCAAAATACTCATACACCCAAAACAGAAATATTTTTTTTTTCTAAATCGTAACATCCACATAGGATGCAACAAGGCAATAAAAAAAAATTCACAAGTTAGGTATGGTAGCCCTTGCCTACAATCCTATTCTCTGAAGGCAGAAGCAGATGATCTCTTAAGAGCTCCAGGCCGCCAGAAGTTAAGAGGTGTTGGCACACAGGAGGTTGCAGACAGTTGCTCTGCAGCAGTCATCATGCCGCAAAATGAATACACTGAATCACACCATAAACGATATAGATCTCGTTTGCATTGCCATGAGAAAAAGAGAAAGAAAGAACGCCGGGAGGTCCATGAATGTTCAAAAAAGGTTAAAAAAAAAAAAAAAGATTGGCTTGAAAGCTAAGCTCTACCATAAGCAGCACCATGCCAAGAAAATACAAATTAAAAAAAAAAAAACTATCAAGGTGCATGAAAAGAGAAAACACCAAACAGAAGAATAATGGAAAGACTCCTCGGGGAGCAGAACCTGCCTACCTGCTGGACAGAGGGACAGTCGAGAGCAAAAGTGCTTTTCAACAGGAATAAGCCAGAATAGAAAGAGAAAGTGGGAAAATGGGAAGTCCCTCTAGCCAAAGTCTGTGCCCAAGGAGAAACAGAAATATTGAAAGTTACTCAAACAGGAAAGAGAAAAAAGAAGGCGTGGAAGAGGATGGTTACTAAACTCTGCTTTGTTGGTGATGGTTTTACAAGAAAACCACCTAAATATGAAAGGTTCATCAGGCCAATGGGCCTGCATTTCAAAAAAGCCCACATCACACATCCTGAGCTGAAAGCTACTTTTTGCCTGCCAATACCTGATGTGAAAAAGAATCCATCATTCCCATTATATACATACATACTTACATATATACATATATATATAAATCACCAAAGGTAGTTATTGAATTGAGTATGAGCAAGTTGGGCCTTGTGACACAAGGAGGCAAGGTCATTTGGGGAAAGTATGCCCAAGTTACCAACAATCCTGAAAATGGTGGGTGCATAAATGTGGTTTTGCTGGTTTGACAGTGACTTCATACAAGTCACTCCAATCACTACCAAAGACTACACACCAGGGAAACACCATCGCTGTGACCCTTCTGAACCAGCAAGCAGCCTTACCCCAAGTACAATCATCAGGAAGTATTTATTAAATTGTAAAGAGAAATTATATATATATAAAAAAACCCCAACAACAAAAGCAAAAGCTCATAAGTATATTACAGAAAAGTTGGGTTTTTTTTTTTTTTTTTTTAAGGGAAGTGCTTCAAAAAGATTAAAACAAGCAAACAGAAATTCAAACAAAATTATCATCACAGGCAAGGAGAGCTAGTTTTTCTCTCCGTAAGGAAAAGAGTGAGGCTGCTCTACTAAAGACCTGCTTACAGGGCTGGCCTTAGCTGGCACTTGGTAGTTTACAGGAAGCTGGGTTTCTGAAGAGCCCCCACCATCAACTGATAAGAAAAGCTCACTGTGACTGAGCAAACCAAATGCCTAAGCTCAACACCTGCTTTAGGTTCCCAGCATCTGGAACTACACAGTTACATGTCAGGCATGGTGTATCTGTGTGACATCCACAGCCCTGCATGTAGCACTAACTGCCTTCCTCAATTTGGAACACTTCTCTTGCACTATCACAGTTTCTGGCTGGAATAATAAGTGTGGTGTGACTCCACTGGGAGAAACTTGCACCTAGTTTCTCCTAAACTTCACCCCATGTGCTTTTTCCTTTCACTGACTCCGCTTTCCACCTTTCTGTTGTAATAAGGCATGCAGGGTTGTAAAAACAATTATCACACATAGGCCTGTGTGTTCTCCCAGCAAATTACCAAACTGCAGAGCGGTGCTGGAACTTTCCAATATATTTTCTTACTTATATTATCCATGAGGAAAAACACTGCCAATACCATTAAATCTGCCATATTAATGTTACTCGTACTTGATCCATTAATAAAAAATTTTACTATTATTTTATTTCCATTATCTTATTTTGCAACATATCCAGTAAATCTAAATTCAATCACATGCAAAATCCTTAGCCAGGCAAAAGCAGGGCAAACTTACAAGCCATTGGAGGAAATTGGTATGCTGTAACCAACAGAGGAATATTTTCTAGGCAGGACCAAACAAGAGAAGACTGAGCACTAAAACCTGGCTACCTGGAAAACATAAAACTCTAAGACATTGGGAATGAATCTCAAAGAAAGTCATCATCTCCCACAACTCCAAGTTACAAGTAACTTCTGTTATTTTCTATACTAAGACATAGTGACAGAAATGCAAGGTTTCAAATGAAGCCCTAAATTATGTCAGACTCTCTAGCTCCCAAGTGTTAGACTGCCACCAGGATAATTCTCAACAGGTCAATCTTATTAAGCAGGCTGCCAGGGAAGGCAAGTGAGAACAGCTTACACCACCATGCTCTGACTCTCTTGTCATGAGGGACACTGAAGAAACTCAGGGAGTATGGCAAATTTACTTTGCGGGGGGGGGGGGAAGCCTACTCTTTATACCACTCAAAAGATTGTGGAAATGTTGGAAAACTAAAACAAAAATATATGAATTAAATCAAATTAATAGTGTTTGTTAGTAATAGCATTATCAATGTTAGAATACTTTTCAGCCTTAAAATCACCTTTAAAACTTTCTTACTTATGTAAATATTAGGCTAGAAAAAAAAATTTTTTTTTTCTTTCTTGAAACAGAATCTCGCTCTGGCTGTCCTGAAACTTACTCTGTAGACCAGGCTGGCCTCAAATTCACAGAGATGTGCCTGCCTCTGCCTCCCAAGGGCTGAGGTTAAAGGTGTGCACAACTACACCAGCTTAGGCAAAAGATATTTATAATTTATAAAAATATGATATGAAATAAGACAATGAAATACTAGAATAGTTTTGACATACTGGGATTAAACTAACCCAAAGGAGAGGGGCTGCTAATACAGCTTGTGAGTAAAGTGCTTGGTACACAACATAAAGACCTGATTTTGAATCCTCAGCACCTATGTCAAAAGCCAAGCATAGTACCATGTGCCTGTAAACTTCAGTACTTGGGGGAATTGAGGGCACAAATGGATTTCTGGAGCCCAGTAGCTAACCAATCAAGTCCAGTCAAAGACTGCCTTAAAAAAATAAGGTGAAAAAACACCCGAAATGAACCTATGGCTTTAATACACATATACACCACACACATGCACACACACAACAATCAACCATGTAATGATGCCTAACAACGCCTGTTGATGGGATCTAGCTAACCTAGTATTTATTGGTCTGTCTTTAGCACTATGATATTGTATAAACTGTTTTAGCTCTGTCTTTACTTGCTTATAGTATCAAAAACTGAAGTTTTAGTCTCTCTAATAAACCAAGATTTTTTTTTTCTTTTACTGCACTTATTGCATGGGGGGTGGGAGAGCTCATGGAGATCATAGGACAACTGGTGGGATTTGGTTTTCCTTCCATCATGTGGGTCCTGCAGATTGAGCTCAAGGTTATCAAGCTTGCTGCGAAGCGCCTTGACTCACAGAGCCATCACCAGAGCCCAAACCCAAGCTCTTACTTTTACTTATAACTGCATTGTGTTTTAGCCCTCAAGCAGTGCTAACTATCTGTATCTCAGGGAAGGTAAATAATAGTCTTTTGCTACAGTCTACTCAAGGGCTCTTAATAGACTAGGGGATTATAGTCATATGAATTTAGTCAATGAAATAACTTTGTATAAATGTTCCAAACTTTGGAAACTTAAGTAGATACTACAGACAATTAATGAAAATTATTATAGAGGGATTTTTTGTTTGTTTGGTTGGTTGGTTGGTTTTGGTTGTGTATGTGTGTTTTGTTTTGAGACAGGATTTTTCTGTGTAGCCCTGGCTGTCTTGGAACTCATTTTGTAGGCCAGGCTAACTTCAAAACTCACCTGTCTTTGAGTTCAAGAATTAAATGTGTGAGCCACCATGACCAGCTATAAATAGAGGGAATTTTAGTCTGAAACCACAAAACTGTTTCTGTGAGTCTCT